TTTCACTAGTTTTGACTACATTGGATCCACCTGAAGGTTGCGCAACCATATTCGTCTGCTTGACATAGCATACCGTTTTCATTATTCTTCACACCACTTAGAAAGACTTGAAAAAGCGTACACTGGATCAACAGTATCAGGAGGTGAAAAAGAGGACAAAAAAGTCACGTGCTGAAGTACGGTGAGAAGGTGAGTCTCAAATTCTCACGGAGAAATTCATTTTGATAATTTGAGATGACAGTGGCATTTCGTTGCATTTGAAAAGTGACGCTTAACGTCATAAATCGCTTACTAGAAACTTCAGGTTCCACAGACGACGCACCTGGTACAGGCATCTAGATATGCAGGCGTACGAATGGCGTTTTTTGGATAACCAAGCTGTGGCTTTGGGTACCGTGTGATCTATACTTTTGTGTTATGATACATAATCAACTCAAATCTATGTGAATCGTCCACAAATAACTCAGGCGAACAATATTTTTGCACGATGACTGAAGGTCTTATCTGAGAATTTATCACTCGAGGAGCTAGTCAATATGTGGCAACGTGATGTGGTCTCCGATGACCGAAAGATGAGTGAGGGTGCGTGGTTTCTGAGTAAACGGCAACCACACTGCTGGTCAGGCCCTAGTGGTGGAGCGTTTAAGTAATCAATCATTGCCCGGAAACTCGCCGGGGCATCGTTCCATAATGGGATGAAATGCATTCTGCCGCCTACTCTCAATAAAGATCGGACATCAATACAATGCTCCTCGGTTTCCCATGTTAGATTAGCTTCACTGAAAGCGTGAAACATCCAATCGAGTGTGAAAGTTCTGCTAGTCGGTGAGAAGCGAAATGGCACAGTTGCACGGGTACATACGCTTGTCATGAGCACGTCACAGACTAATTTTGGTGCGATTCAAGTTTAATCTATAGAAATTTAGGACGTCTCTAGCGAACTATCTAGCTGAGTTAAACGAAAATGTCAGATATTCAGGCTTCTTTTGTGGTTACAAGACTTGCTCTGATCAAAACAATGATGCTATGGTTTCGTTCATTTTGTAGTCCTAAGATGTTGCGGATCATGGTTTTAACAATAAAACAATGTACGGAAGTTTCACGAACTGACGGGCAACAAAATCAAGAGAGCTCACTGCTACCTGAACTAGCGACTACCATGAAGCACACACTCGGAATGTACGTCAGCTAATCGGATACTGGGCCCTTGTTAGCTAACTGTGGAACTACGGGTGCATTTGAGACCCCTTCCTTTTGTATGAAACAAGAGGTTTTCTGAGTTGATAATACACTGACGAGCGTGTGTTTGTTGTTCATTTCAGACGATGGGAAGTCTCCCAGTTGGAACCTTTCAAGGTCACTATGATCTAGTGACGCACCAGAATGATGTGGCAAAAACAGTATGTATTCAGCGCAGTTTTCGATATTTCGAATTGTCTATTGGAACAGTCATTTCATACGCCGTTATATGTTTAGGGAACCAAGTGGTCACGCCACAGTCTACCGATTATAGCATTTACTTTAATCACTGAAAGGCTTTCAACCATTGGAGTCGAAATCGCCACAGGTTTTCCTGTGAATCGAAGGCACCTAACTTCCACCACAATGATGTAACTGGTCAGGATTTTCCACTCCATATCCTAGATCGGTCTTCCTGCTAGTGTCTCACGGGATTTGCAATAGTATAGTTTTGTCCGTTGTAGTTAGAAATTCGGGTATTTGAGACATCCCTCTACTTCCGGGTATCGGAGAAATACCCCCCTCGAACAACGGTGATCGGTGCACGAATATGAACTATGTACCACCCAGATGTGTAATATGATGATCAGGTTCTCGGTCAAAATGACGTGTAAAAAATACATACATAGATACATCCAAAACAAACAAACGGAAAAAAAGAGGGACATTTTTACAGGTAGACTTTTGTATAGATAAATATCGCAAATGACAATTGTAAGATACATATGTGCATAGATAGATAGATAGATAGATAGATAGATAGATAGATAGATAGATAGATAGATAGATAGATAGATAGATAGATAGATAGATAGATAGATAGATAGATAGATAGATAGATAGATAGATAGATAGATAGATAGATAGATAGATAGATAGATAGATAGATAGATAGATAGATAGATAGATAGATAGATAGATAGATAGATAGATAGATAGATAGATAGATAGATAGATAGATAGATAGATAGATAGATAGATAGATAGATAGATAGATAGATAGATAGATAGATAGATAGATAGATAGATAGATAGATAGATAGATAGATAGATAGATAGATAGATAGATAGATAGATAGATAGATAGATAGATAGATAGATAGATAGATAGATAGATAGATAGATAGATAGATAGATAGATAGATAGATAGATAGATAGATAGATAGATAGATAGATAGATAGATAGATAGATAGATAGATAGATAGATAGATAGATAGATAGATAGATAGATAGATAAGTAGATGGATGAGTGTGAGTAATCTAGGATGATATTCTCCCATTCAGCATTTTCAGCGCTTTTTCATCAGTAGATGTTGCCCGATTTTTTATTCGTTCCAGCCGAATGTTACAGATAGACAACCCTTATCTCGGACGCATTAGTTTTCACTGACTCGACGCCTGATGCAGGCCACAACTGAGGAGGGCCACGAATTCGTTCGGCGAAAACTGCACCGTGCACTTGAGGTTTGTAGTTGCTTTTCTTACACAATTCATCGCAAAATGATGAACGAGTGTACGATAAAAGGGTCGTTCTAGGTAAGAATTGATTTGTTTAGAGTTGAATACGTGGTTGGGATGCATGGGGGCAGGTAATAGGTAACGAATGTAGTGTTTTGTGGGCCATTTCATTAAGCCAGCTGAAAATTGAACGTGGTCCATTTAGTTGAGCGAGAAATCTTTTACAATCTATCGATAATCTTCCATAACTATTTCTGTCGCATTTTTCAGCTTGGCCACATCATGAAGGAAACGTTCCACGACATTGTCATGGATGTGACAACCCACCATAAGCCAACAGTTAACAACTTGTCCAAGAGGGATGAGCTCATATGTTACGAAACTGTATGCGATCACTTTGAGACGCACTGCTTCACAATGCAGCAGGTGAGTTGACCCCATGGTGCACACAAAGAAGTGTACAAACACGTTGCCATCTTATTCACCCTTGGCGTCACCTAGAACGAGCAGCAGTCCCAAAAAACTCCTGTTTAAACGTCCAGTGTACGACCTTTACGGTAGGAAATTTAGGGCCTGTCCGGTAAACGAATCACCAGCACTCTTGTTCTTTCCTTAAAATTGGACGTTCATTTAGAAACATGGTGTTTCAACAGTTCGTGGGATAGTTTTCAAAGCAAGTTTATGTCTATCGCCAGGGCGAATCACGGAATATTGAGTGGTTCAGTTCAGTTCAGTGCAGTGCAGTGCAGCGCCGTTCAGTTCATTGCAGTTTGTTTCATTTCAGTTCACCTCAGTTCACTTAGCTCAGCTCGTCTGCCTGCCCCTTTGCTATTGCTGGAATGAGTGTACTTATAACCTGCCTCAACCGATCACCACGGCATTGTGATTGTTTTCGGAATAGATATTTGGAAGTGGTGACGAAGGTTCCGGGTGCTCAACCCTGTTAAACTGTGTTGTGAGACGTTTTCGTGAAGTTGCTTTTATGGTAATTCAAATGAAACAATTTCGTGGAGTTCACGCTTGCTCACCTATCTGCTATGTAGCTGAAGACTTTCGCGTGTTCTCTCCTAAGATTTGACGAGTTTATATCAAGACGCTTCGAAATGTCCGAAATTCACATATGCCGATATTCGCCAACACCTCTCACAAGTAACTTTTTCTAATCTGGGGATCAGTAACCGCTCATACTTCAGTGTTCATCAGTGAAAATATTCCCGACTCTTAAATAGTTAGCACTGTTCTCGGGAATTCTGAATTCTATTGGTGTACGTTGTGGTGAATCTTGTGTGAACCCACATTTTTTCGTTTGCATGCCTGGACTGGGTCCCTAGCTGAGATTATGTTATCTCTCTCTTCAGCTCCCAGAGGTAGCTCAGCATACAATTCATCTAATGGAGCAGTGCAAAGCTGGATACGAGGCCAAAACCGTCATCGAGTGTGTCCACAGCGTCTGCTCCTAACAGACACACAGTGTGACCTGTGACTCTACTAAATAAAATGAATTGCACCTGTTCCGTATCGTGTTTTGCTACGGTAACAATACGTGGTTTGCATTTTACCGTCAAACTGGCGTCCAAGAAATCATCAGAGATAAACCGAAGGAATTCATGTAAAATCGTTCGGAATCTCAATATGTGGACCCATCAAGACTCTTTCACAATTCTGGGGTACTATTGCACGTTAAATGTACAGAACTAATAAAAATAGATCGGTCAATCAACGCTGTTAGAACAGTTAGCGGGTGGATTGTTGACTCGAGCACAGTGCTCAAAATTTAATTTTTTTATCTTGTTCACTCTAACCGGACTAGAGACGCATAGTGAAACTGATCTACATAGAATTTGAATAAGTTTACATGCAACCTGTCTCAACTTCATCGGATGCTTAGTTGTAGTCGTTGTGACCATGCAAGTTTGTCTAACAAGCAGACTGGTTATTTGGATTCATCTGTTTCTTTCGACGCTGGGAATCATCACCAACATCATCATCACCAGCATCATCGTCATCATCATCAACTTCATGCGCGACGGAACGACTCCAATGTTGAACACTGATGCCTCGCTGTGGTACAACCATGATTTATTTGAAAGCCTCCTTGTGAAGCGAAGAATACAGGTGGACGGTGAAAGGACAAAGTGCTAGCTCACTTCAATTATTCTCAGGTTCCTACACTTCCAAGTAATTATCCCGGCAACCTCGATAGAGACTCACAACAAGAACGCCAGGAACCTCGATTGACAGCCACGTCCGGCAGCATCTCCAGCTTGACTTGTTTCCGAAGAATGTCTCCAATATTCGGTGACCGATCCGAAAGAATTTAAACCTCCGAATGAATACCAGCACTTTCTAAAAATGCTCAAAAGTTTCCCATGTTCACTCTAGGGTTTCAGGATATATTGAAGTTTAATTTTAGGGTCGGTGGTGTTATCGCTTATCCAGAAGATGGGACAGTTTCTGGTGTTCATTTGTGCAGTTTCGGCAACTATATGAAAGAACTCCAATTTTATACGAAAAAGCCTTGTTACTGGACGTAGATTTATCGTTCGCTGAATATGACGAGAGCCTGTGTTTTTGTCGCGCTGGGTACCGAAATATCAATTGGCATGCTGAACCACCTCCTTGTGGTGATGGCCGGGGATGCTAGACGCCAGTCTCGGTGAG